CCAGGGAAAATTCTGAAAAAACTGGTGGCTCACCTAAAAGGGCAGGTAAAGATGAGTGAAAAGAGAGAGAAGTGAAATGAGGGTGGTTTTCAGAGCCTTTGAAAAGGCCATGCTGGAGTTTGAATTTTGTTTCTTAAACCTCAGCAAACTAGTTAAAGAAGCTACCTATTGACTTTTTAGATTTCTGGGGTTCCTTGTAAATGAATTAATTTATTGATTTTGACATGCCAGAAGTTCTCCATGATGGCCGTTGCTATTCTAAATCAAAACTGTTCGCTTTTTAATCAAAGTAAGTGCAAGAGTTAGGATTACAATGCAACTTTATATGGAGAGCAGGAGTTCTTCCAAGAGGAAGTTGTGGTTTTGACATAGAAGAACCCAAGAGAGACAAAAGAGGCTACTTAGTAAGAGTGTGTGCCTGCAAATGGTATCTTGGGATCCCTTTTCTAAGCAAATGTTAGGAAAGGGCCATGCAGTCAATGACCTGACAATCTTTGACCCTGGAATGTGAACTAAAAGTAACCTGTCACACGTCGACAAGACAGTGCCCTCATGAATGTTCTGTGGAACCTAAAGCTAAGTTTGACCAATTGCCCTTTCCTGAACTGGTCACCAGTCTAATGGACCTCCAACTGTCATCCCTCAGGACCACCTTGGGTTAGATTTGTGACTTATTGGGCCATTCCGTAGGAAACACTCTTTTATTTACCTCTGAGAAGCAAGGAGTTCCAGAACAAAACAAAAACGCATAGAATAAGACTTTGTCTTATAGACAAACAAAAGCAAAAGAAAATGAGCACTAGGAGACTAAGTGGTTTATTGGCAAAAATAGTTGTCAAATGGTTCACCTCTCAAACAAAAGGTTTAATGAAGCTATACGGACCTATGTCAATTATTCAATGATCTACTTTCCAAACAAAATGTCTAATCACCTTATATAAAAGTCTAGGTATAATTATCTATCAGAATCCACATCTGTAAACTAAAATTTCTAGTTACTTTATACAAAGATGGAGGTGCAATGATTTTATACAAAGACCTACTTGGTTAAAATCATAGAAATGGTGACAGTTCAGTGAAACTAGTTGAGTTCAGGTTAGTGTTGGGTCTGATTTATCTGGCAGCAGATTGAAGGACAAATAGAGTTTGGATCCCAGGAACTCAGTAAGTACATTGTTGATTTTTGGGAAGCATGGAGTTCAGGGAGTGGTGTCCTTTCCCAGATATAAGTGGGTTGGCATCATTTATGGAAGCATATTTATTTGGTTGGCTGACTCTCAGGGCTGTCACTGATCCATTGACTTGTAAAAGTGTTTTAACTGAGGCGAGTAGTCATTGATTGAGTCAATGGGTTTAAAACTAATTCTGGGTACCATGATTATAGAATGATCAAACTTTCTCCAAGAATGTGTTCACTTTTTAATATTCTCCCAGTTGATTCTTACTATTTGTTTTCACTAGAACATAACGCAAATTGGCATCTGATATAACATAAAATATTAATTTATATTCATAGACCAGAGTTCTGTGGTGTTTTGTACTGAACAAGGTGACTAATACATGTTTCATTATGACCAAGTTTGAGAGCCATTAGATTCAGCCACTAGGTTTAGGTGTTTTCTAAGAGGCAAGAGTATTTGCTAGATAAATTTAATCAGGAAATAGTTTATTTGGGAGATTAAATTTATTACTTTTAATAGTTACTCCGCAAGAAGGAAAATATTTGTCAACATGCTGAGAAAAAGATCAAAGAGAAGAGGAGGTGGAGGGTTCTAGAGAAGCAGCCGTTATTTGGTGGTTGACTAAACAGAATCCTAGCATCTTATAATTAGATGGGACTTCAGAGGCCATAAGACTAACATCCCTCCAAGTTCAGAAATTTCCTGTCCAGTTTATACTATCCTTGGCAGACAATTTCTAGCCTCTGCTTGAGTGCTTTTAGTAATGAAGCTCTTTCTGTACATCACAAGACAACTTGTCATGTTTTGAAATGCTCTGATTTCTGAATGACGTCAGACCTGCTTCCTTGTACTCCTACTTGCTAGTCCTAGTTCTGCACTTTCAAGCCACATAAAATAAGTTCATTTTAGTGTATTTTATTGGACCAGTATGGCAACTCTTCACCTATTTGGAGGCAATTGTTATGTAATACTATATTCTCTTCTCTAGTGATCCTTTGATTCTTCTGTATGTGACATGGTTTCTGGACTTTTATCTGCCCAAGTCACTCTGATCAAAGCAGTTTGGGCTTAAATTATAACAACAACAACAACAACTATCATTGGCTGAGAGATTACTACAGTTGACCCTTGAACAGTACAGGTTTGGACTGCGTGAATCGACTTATACAAGAACTTTTTCTTTCTTTCTTTTTTTATTTAAATGCTCACCTGAGAATATGTTTTTATTGATTTTTAGAGGGAGAAATCTCGATGTGAGAGAAACATCGATCAGTTGCCTCCTGTATGTGCTCTGACCGGGAACTGAACCCACAACTTTTAGGTGTTCAGGAAGATGCTCCAACCAACTGAGCCACCTGGCCAGGGTCAATAACTTTTTTCAATAAGTACTTGTACAGTTTTGTCAATTCGTGGTTGGGAGTCCACAGATTTAGAAAGCCTACTGTATGCATTGTTCTATGCTATTTTATAAAGAGGGGGTTGAACATCTACAGATTTTTGGTATTCACCAGGTGAAAGGGGGAGCTGGGACAAATCCCCCATGGGTAATGAAGTAGTTAGCTAACTTTTGGGGGAGTGAAAAACTACACATGGATTTTCAACTGCAGCAGAAGTCAGTGCCCCTAAAATTGTTCAAGGCTTCACTGTATATGCCAGGTACCCTCTAAGCACTTATTTAGTTTGCAAAATTAATCCCATGAAGAAGGTACTATTTTATAGATGAGAAAATAGTTTAAGTAACTTGAGGCAGACAGTTTATAAGTAACTTACTTGTTCAAGGCTTCAGAGCTGCTCACAAATAGTCAGAATGCCAAGCACAGCACTCCAGGCGGTCGGACTTAACTTCTCTTGTTTCCCGCCTGCCAGATTGCCAAGTAAAACAAAGCCACCTCTCTTCCCTCTTCCTGGACATTCTACTTTTACCAATGAGGTGCTACTTTGTTTTAGCAGCCCTGTCATAAGCCACTGGGGGCCTATATTGAACTTGTGATTGGTGAAAATACCTGTGCCTTTCTTTTTCACATGATCTGCTGCTAGAATAAGCCTTCATAATTAATTCTGTGGTCATGCAACTGATTTTTTTGGACCGAAATCCTGTGCTGTATCATCTTCCCCATTCAGTTAGGTTCAGTGCATGAAGGAAGGACAGCCTGGCAGTGGACTGGTTTGGGGAGAATGTCCTGGGGGTGGTTGTTTCAGTTCTTGAGAGCTGGGCCCAGTGGTAGCTGGATGGATGAATAATTAACATAAAAAAAGAGGCCCTTGGGAAGACCAACTGGAAGAGTAAGTTGGGTGAATTCCTAAGAAGGTTTTGGACATTTAAGGTGAGACTATGTCCTTAATACAGGGCTGAGCTTCCCCATTCAGAAACGGAGAGCAGCGGTGCCACTGAGTGTCTTCTCTTCCTTAGATTAATCTCTTCTCCCCTGATTAATCTCACACCATTCTGATTGTTTTTCATTTGGAGTGATAAGGATACATCTCAGGAGAGGTGGCATTCGATCAAGGCCAGGAACCCCAGGTAGGATTTGAGCTGGCAGGACCAAAATGTAGGGGTGTGCGGGAGGGTGGTGGTGGTGGAGAGAGTCTCATCAGAGGCAATGACAGGAGCCATCAGGATGTTTGGCAAAAAGACATCGCTATCGATGACAAGAGTGAAATGTCTGTGCCTGGCTAGGGCAGGAGATGTATTAAAATTGCAAGGAGAGTGGCATCCAGCCCATGTCCCTAGTTACATCTCTGTTCAAAATTTCCTTTGCTGAGACCCCTGTAGACACACTGAATTAGTTATCACAAGCAAGCTTGGCCCCTGGAGGAAGAGGACTCCGGTCTGTGACAGCCAGTCTTTCCCCTTCTCACCTAGAGCTTCTCTTACTGTGATGTGAGTTCATAAGGAGGAAGGCTGGGTAGAACTAGACATCCAACTAGGGGTTCTTGGGAGCTTGCCTTCCCTCTTTACCTGCCAGCTGGCTGCTTTTTCCCCTCTGCCCTGCCTTCCCCCTCTCCCTCTCTCTCTTGCTAACATATAGTTAGGAAGGAAGAGGCATCAGCCATAGGGGCCTCTGGTGCACAGGTGTGAAATGACAAATGGATTTTCTGCCCTAGGACTGATCAAAATCTCCCATTCATGCTCTCTAGCTCAGAAGTTCATTTATCTTCTGATCTTAAAATGCTAAGTCTGGTAGGACTTGCAGAAGCTTCTGTCTTTCCACCCCTAGTGTGAAACAAAAACAAATCCTCAACAGACTTATAAGATTGGAATATAAATATCGGGGTCCCTAGAAGTGAAGAAAGTGTTGCCTGACCTGCAGGAAGCTGCTCTCCCCAGTGCTCACTCAGCTGAGACCCCTTCACCAGCAGGCCCATCCCCCTCTGCAGCCTCGCTCCCTCCCCCCCAGGGAACCATGCCCCTCAGGAATCAGAGACTGAGATTTAGTAAAAAACGTTTTCATTTTCCAAATGCAAAATGGTGGTGATTGTAAAAATAACAATAATAACAATAATACTCATAATAATATAAAAAGCATTTCTGCTTCTGCCCCAGTGCAAAATGACAGGTGCACTCAGCTCAAAGACACGTCGCTTAGGGCATGGCATCCTTCTGCAGTGCTGCACAGCAGCAAAACTCATCCCAAACTCCTTCTGGTGGATCTGTGCGCTCCTTCGGCCCTAGGAGTCAGTGGCTTCTCCGAAGCAGGTCTGCGGGGCGCAGGGCTCCTGCGCTCTCTACGTGACCCCGTCTCGGCCTCCGTGTCTCTCGGCTTCCCTCTGGCTCTCCGCCTCCTTCCTCTCCCCCACCGCCCGCGGGTCCCCCCGTTCCTAGGAGGCGTGCTGCCGGTTGGCGAGGGCCCGGCTGCAGACGACGCCTTCGTGCCGCTTGCTTTTCTCCAGCAGGGTCTGCGTCTGGAGGGCCTGGCGCTCCAGGGCGGCCCGCAGCGCGCCCTCGGCTGCCTGCTCGTCCCGCAGGCGGCTGGCGGCGGCGAAGGGGCCGCACACGGTCTCCACCAGGCCGAGCACCACGCCGAACAGGGCGAGCACGCCGCCCAGCACGTACACCTTCACCAGCCTCCGGCTGGGCTTCTGCGCGACCAGCTCCTTGACCAGAGGAATCAGCTCCTGCACGGTCTCCATCGCGGCTCTGCGCTCTCGGGGCGGGAGGGACCTGGGGGCGCGGAGCAGGAAAGGGGGCCGTTAGTCGTTGAAGGGTGGCCCCAGCTGCGCCAGCATCCCCCCGCAGCCCCGCGGGAAGCGTCCCCGCGCCCCGCCGCGC